CGTTGATAATAGTGATAATTGTAATACTGACAGATTAATGATAATGATAACAATGATAACAATGACCATAATAAAAATAATAGTGACAATAGGAACAACAACAAAATAAGAATATTAATGATAATAATAATTATACTATAATAACAAGAATTACAGTACAAATGCTGATAATAATAACAACAATAATGGTGATGGTAATAAAAATGATAATAATAATGATAATAATAAGAATGATATTATAATGTTGATAATGATTATAATAAGAATGATAATGATAGTAATAATAATAATAATAATAATAATAATAATAATAATAATAATAATAATAATAATGATAACAATAATAATAATGATAATGAAAATGAAAATGATAAGAGCAATAATAATAATGATAATAAAAATAATAGTTCTAGCATAACAATAACAGTGACAATACTAATACTGTTGATACTGCTACTACTACAAATAGTAATAATGATAATAATAATGGTAATAATAATAACAATAACAATAATAATGATCATGATAATAATAAAAATGTGAATAATAACAGTGATGATAGTAATAATAATAATAACAACAACAACAATAATATCAATGATAATTATACTACTACTATTATTATAATGACTACTACTAATATTATCAAAATAACGATAATACTAATGAGAATTATAGCGATGTATAGGGTAACGATAATAAAAATAATATGATAATGATATTCATCAAAAAAATATTACGATAACAATAATGATAATGCAAACTGATAATGATAACAATGATAATGGTAATGGTAATGTGGATAGTAACTGAATTGAAAATAGTAATAAATAAATTAACAATGATTCTACTGCTATGGCAAATACTATTATTACTACTACTCCTTTTAACAGTTATGCTACTACTAATAATGGCAATAATAATGAAAATATTATTGATAACTGTAATAGTAATAATGATAATGATAATAATGATAACGATTAAAAAATGATAACAACAATAATGTCAACGATAAACACAATAATAATAACGATAATATATGATAATAATACTATTAATGATAATAACAATAATAATCATAATAAAATAATAATATAATAATAATAATAATGTTAATATAAAAAACGAAAGTCATAATGATAATGATGAAATTAATTATGGAGATTACGGTAATAGTAATAATGATGATGATGATGATAATAATTATAATAAAAATAATGGCAATAATATTAATAATGATAATGATAATAGCAAAAAAATAATAACAATGGTAATAATAATAATAATAATGACAATAATGATAACAAAAATGGCAATGATAATAATAATAATAATAATAGCAATAACAATAATAATAATAATAATAATAATAATAATTTTATTAATGATAATGATACTACTACTACTACTACTACTACTATTAATGATAATAATGATGATGATGATGATAATAATAATAATAATAATAATAATAATAATAATAATAATAATAATAATAATAATAATAATAATAATAATAATAATAATAATAATAATAATAATAACAACAATAATAATATTGAAAATAATAATAATACTATCACTACTATTAATATTAGTAACAATAGTTCAACAAAGACAACAATATTGATAATATTAATGATAATGATTACAAAAATAGTCATAATGATAAAAATCATAATAATAATAATAATCTAATGGTAATAATGATAACAATAACAATAAAAGAAAATAATGATGATGATAATACAAGGATCACAGTAAACATAGCTCTTAATAAAAGCTCAAATATGTTCACAGAAGTTGTGTAATCACTAGAAGAATACCTGCGCTGTATGAATACATGGTAACCCACCCGAGCAAAGTACGAATTCTGCAACAGAGACGAAACAACTTTTATTTTGAAATTCACACTGATAGCCGTTGTTTGAATCAGTAACGCCTTTCCTCTCCCCAACCCAAACTACCCAAACTCCTGCACGTGGACACCTGAACCACCACATCAAACAACTACAACAAACACCCGTTAAGACCATCATGTCACTTCGCTGTTGCCACTTTACTTCTTTCACCTCCTCTCCCTTCTCCCCCTCTCTTGTTTGGTCTAACCCAGCTTCCGGAGGACCGACTGGAGAACTCAACCCTTGGAGAACTGACACCATCCAACCTCCCCCCCTAACGCCTATGTAGATCTCTGTCTCTCCCGCGCCCTTTCACCGCCCACTCTGGACGACGCCCGCGCGCTTCCAACCGCTCACCACTGTTGGAACGAACGTCCATCCTCTGTCTTCGCGAAGGATGGTGAGCGAGCATTCATCACAAGAAAATAGAGTGACCCACCAAACGGCTGGTTATCGCCCTGCGTGTTGGTGCGCCGTCTGCGGGAAAAGGCGCTGCCAAAATCTGACATTAAATGTGTGGTAAGCGATTGCCTAACATCTGTCATGCAACATACTTACATAATGACACTACTTTTGGTTGCGAAAAAACAGGGAGTTAAAGAT